CCTTAGGAGCTAGAGTCCTCCCTTGGGATGTGGGAAACCCAGTTTAAATACCTTCTTGGGCTTGAAGGGCTTGAATCTGCATCTTGTACTTTTCAAGGGAGCGTCCTACCCTCCGGGCTGTTGGATATTTTAGGGTAAGCTCTCTCAGTGGCTCCTTTTGAAACTGTTACACTTCCCATAAATAGTAAATATTTATTGAGACTGGAAACCAGTGTACATCCCAGGGAACTCCCCTAATTAGTGGGATACAGAGCCAATCTCTAGCTTCCTTCCCCCTCCCTTATCCAAGGCTTAGGTGTTTTTGCCTAGTGGCAAAAATTTAGGCAGCCCAAGGACTTCACCGTTGGAAGTTGCAACACTGAGAAAAATTACATGTTTTCAGGGTTAGGCAGAGATTTTGAGGATTTTAATTTTAAATGTAGATGTATAACATGGCAGGTCGCTCCCTGAGTATGCCTTGTGGATCTAGCACGTGATCATAACCAAATGTACTGCTTAAATTACATTTCCTTCTCACTCTGCTCTCATTTGACTCTTAGGCTATTCCATCAGGCATCCCTACAAAAAGGTCTTGTCCAGAAACTTGCAACCAAAGAAAATAGGTTCTTTCTACACAAAAAAGTATCAGCCCAGCAAACCAATGGAAACCTATGCCTCACTCACTAACCCACTACCAAAAATGTCAGTGACATTACTGTATTATTTAAAGTCCACTCCTTCAATTCTGACCAAATGGACCATGGGGAAAAAATATGCCTCCTTATCTCTGACATGGTGACTGGTTAAATATTGGGTATTCCAGCAGGGTTCAGCACCTGTACCCTGATGAAGACCCTGTAATGTGCCCTAGCTATTAAGTAAGTTTACTTTCATTCCTAACACTGTGTTCATGGAAGAAGAAAAGGAAGAGTTAAAGCACGATCAATGTATACTCTGTCATTTCAGAACATATGGCTTGCTATGTTCCCTGGAAGGGCACATGACAGATCGGCAAACCGATGGTCAAAGGAGACTGTGGGTCAGGGCCAGCCTGAAGCAGGAGGTCTAATACTTCTGAAAGTCATAGGGAGCCAATGCTAATGGCTTTGTAGGGAACCCTGGGTGTGCTTTTTCCGGTCTTGACACTTATTATGTACATAACATAACACATTGGAATTTAAAAAGAAATAAACATCTGAGCCAAAGCTGCAGGAAACGACAGCGCGTTAAGCTTTACGGACAAATGACGTACATGCTTTTTTCTTTATTAATTCAATTCATAGAAAAGCTCTCCCACAAGTAGGTGACTAGCTTCCAAATATGGGAATAAACATGCTCAATTACGTGAGCAAGACAAAATACAAAGGCACTAGATAACTGACTCATGACCTTAAAACAGCTCCGTACTGCAGGGAAACATATTCCCAGTACCGGCAGAATGACCTGGTGACAGCTCCTCTCCCCCAGGAGATCCTGTCCCCCTCCCACAGGCTGTTCTGACTGGAAGTAGGACTCCGAACCATGACCTTAAAGGTGAAATGCAGGAGACATCCTGCTGGGCCTAATGCTTCCCATCTAGTCTGGATTTTGCCCTTTCCCTCCCCTCAGGAAACTGTATTGCATGTCACGGACAATGCGTAACCCTCTATTTGTACAAGGAGGATCTGCTGAAACATAACCGCTACAGCACTGGAACTAAAAGTCCATAACTTAAGTTCCAGGTGCACTGAGTCATTTGCAAAGCCTGGTATCGTCATCACAATAAGTTATACCTTTAAGGCATGGACTAAAATAATGGTCAGTGTTATCTGAGGAATCTGATGCAGGAAAAAGAGAAAAATGTATAATTGTAATGGAAAAAAATTGTGGTAAGGGATTGGTTAAGCAAAGATCAAACTACATGTTAAATATGACTACTCAATCTCTCTTATATGTGGTATTTCAGACAAACTAAAGGACGTTGAAAAAAACTCATTTAAATATTTGGGTTTTCTATAGAGGCCTCTGTTTTGTATAATACTACATAAAATATACAATAAATATATGCACGTGATATATATTGCATTAGGTTGGAGATTAGGAGGAACCTTCTGACTATGAGGGTGGTCAAACATTGGAACAGGCTACCTAGACAAACTGGAATCTCCATCCTTGGAAGTTGTCCAAAACATATTAAACATACATTTGGCTAGGATGATTTAGTCAGGGATGCTCCTGTCCTCAGCAGGGGCCTGGACTACATGAGGTCCCTTCCAGCCCTACTTTCCTATAACCCTCTTGTGTATCTGGATGTATGTATATATAATAGTAGTTAACAAGGTGGAAGGCAACTTTTCAAATGTAGGTGAAGGCGTAAGGGCAGGTTGGTGCCTGGAGCAGCAGCAGCTTCTGGGTGCCAGTCCTGGCAATGTGGCCAGCTGGCAGGAACAGCAGCTGTTACTTTTCTTCCCCTCACTCCCGCCAAGTTGTTACCCAGGGCTGCTATTGAACATGGTCATCTAGGGATCCCATAAATAAAGAAATAAATAAGAAATGGCCAGATGTGCCAAATATTGTATTTCCTTTCAAGAACATTGGTTAGGGGTATAGTTGTGAAAGATTTTTTTTTTCTAATGATTCTGGCTCACCTTCGCCTCCATTTAAATTTTCAATATAGGAAAACTTAGTCATCTGCTTAAATCCCTTTGAAAGGATAGTACTTAAGCACATGGTTAAAGTTAAGTACCTGCTCAACAGTTTGCATGTACTGAAATGACTAGCATATATTGAAGCGTGTTCCTGAAGTGCTCCCTGTAAAGCATCCAGTCTGTGGTATTGGAGAGTTGAACAAGCAGGGCAAGAATTACCAAGTGTGCTGTGGTGATGCACACAGATCTTCAATGGTCTGTATAAACCACAGAGCATTCAACATGGGCACTTTGGGATCATTCTCCAGAGATTTCAGCAAGCTTGCAGACCAGAATACCACAATCATTTTCAAGTATTTGATAATAAGGGATATCAAAGATGGTGTTTTAAACCAGCAGGCATTTGTCTATGGCATGAAGCCTGAGGAGTGGAAAGTGCTAGATCTAGAATTACTCCAATTAAACTCTAATTCATTCTCAGTGGTGAACTCCACTGCACTAAAATAATACTGGAATAAACAGAGGTGGGTACAAGAAAAGTACCCCATCCCAGGCTAGATCCTGAGCCACTTGCATAGAAAAACAGGTTTTCTGGCTCCCGTAATGATCTTTAATGATCAGATGAGCTGATCCTTTTCCCTTCCCTTTCCCTGCCACTGCAATTCTGATCGCTACAGAGGCTGGATATAAAGGCTGGAAAAGGGAAATCACTTTTTAAAGAGGAAAGCTGTGAAGACTCCTAATGTCTGAAACTCATTCCAACCCCATCTAAATGAACCCAATCTGTTGACTTTCAGGGCAAAAGGTATGCATGCACGAGCACATAACACACCCCTTTCCTTCTTTTTATTTGCTGTCAAAGGATTCTTTTTGAGTCCTCTCAACTTAAAGAATTGAAGGTAGAAACGTGAGCCTTTTGGACTAGTTTCAGACTGGGGACCATACTCCCACAGGAGCTAAACACCACTGCGAACCTCATCACCATCACACTAACCACAACTTGCACTGCTTTGACCTGCCTTCTCTAATGCACACTGAGCAGCATGGCCATAAGAAACCCTTCCCCCTGCCCCCCCAACCCCAGTTTCAATGCAAAATCCTTCCCCTATCACATGCAATTCCCCACATGCAATTTCTCTTCCCTGGTGAGAGGTGGAGAGAAAGAACAAACTATGAATGCTGGAGGTACCGTATTTACTCAAATTTAAGATGACCCTGAATATAAGACAACCCCCCAATAATTAGATTCTGTACTTGGAAAATGTATAAATTTGTTACAATTTTCCATGTATAGACTCTAATTATCCAGGGGCCATCTTTAATCCATCCCCCCACCGCTGCAGTGGGGCAGGGAATGGGGGCAGCAGGTGGTGTGGGGAAGTCAAGTAGCTTGAGCCCTGCTTGGGCCTAGCCCCCTGCCATTTCTGCTCCCTGTCTGCCCCCCTGCAGGCTCAGGTCCCCCCTTCCTCCTCTGCTCCTCTTCCTGTCTCTCCCCCCAGGCTCTGCTCCCCCATGCCTTTGCTTGCCTTTCCCTCCCCCAGCCTCTGCCCCGCTTCCCACCATTATTTCTTTTCTCAATGCCAGCAGGTCCCACCCCTGTTCTAGCCTGCGGCACTGAACACAGCCCCAGCCCTGCCCCTGTAGCAGCCATGCGCTGCATGCCACTGCTACAGGCTGGGCTCAGTGCCCCAGGCTACAGCATGCATGGAGCTTGCCGGCATGGAGCAAAGGTAAGGGGAAGGGGAAGATGGTGGGGAAGAGGCTGCAGAGGGGAGATGGACGTAGAGGAAGGCAAGGCAGCAGCTCTGGCCCTGACCTTGACCCTGGGTAGGGGCTGGAGCCTGCCCTTCCCCTTCCCCTGCACCCTCATAGGCAATTCTAAGATGAGGGGCTTCCCCCCAAATTAAATGGAAGAACCTTGTCTTAGAATCAATGAAATTTAGTAAGTCAAAATGTTTAACATGCTACTGGAAGGTCCTCAAATGCCTCCAATTCTAGGGTGAACAGAAGATCGGGAAAAAAAATAAACCCAGAAGATTCTCAATATGGTTTTTGCTGTTGAGTTGTTCCATGAGTTAAGTTTTGAGCAAAAGGGTGTTACCAGAGAAGTCTGGCTTAAAAAAAAAGGTCTCCCCAGGAGTAGTTTTAGAGCACTCCTCTTTAATGGAATAAGTATATAAATCAAAATAAAATAAAATAAATCTGCCTGTGGCAGACTGTAAATGGCCTCTCTCTTCCCCTCTCCATGGCCCAAATGGTGATACCAGAATGCTATGTGATACCTAAGTTGAGGCAAGGAAAAGTAAAAACATCTACTAATCCCAATAACTCCTGCCGTTGAATACTAGGCTGAATTCTCCATAGAGGAAACTTGCCTTGATGACTATAACTTACCTCTTCTCGATGTTCTTCTCCAGAGCGTTGAATATACCACCTAATAGAGGCTTGCTGGGACTTAGGAATACATTCCAGAAAAGTTGAATTAAATTCAATGCCAAAAATCACCTTTTCATCAGCAGTTTCATGACTAATGCCTGGAAAGCAAACATGGTACAGAAGATTAACCCTGACCTGATTTTTAAAGCAATGGGAAAATAGACTGATTCAGAACAGATGCTATAGGAGCAACTGAATTATAAAAAAAAGCAAAAGGAAACTTAACTTTTAGCTTAAAATATAACTGCTAGGATTTAGAGATGGCTGCTAACTTTTCTCCTGTGCAACTGGCTTTTAGAGGCGGTCATAAAACCTGCCTCACTGACTTGTTCAATTTTACACAAACACT